GCATGGGGTCAGACTTGATGATCTGTTCAGGTCCCTTCTGAAACTAGAAACTATGTAACTCCAATTGCACTTTGGCTTTTCTGATTTCATCTCTGCATGCCTCAGCAATATTCCCATACTCCTCCCTAGTCATCTGTCCAAATTTCCACTTTTTGTAAACCTTCCTTTTATGTTTAAGCTCACTGAAGAGTTCTCTACTAAGCCAAACTTGTTGCCTGCCATATTTTTTCTTCCTGTACATTGGGATGGTTTTTCCTGCACCCTCAATAAGGTTTCTTTTAAAATACAACCAGTTGTCCTGGAATTCTTTCCCCCTCAGCCTGACCTCCCAGGGGATCCTGCCCATCAGTTGCCTGATGGAGTCAAAGTCTGCTTTTTTGAAGTCCAGGGTCCATACTCTGCTGTTCTCTCTGTCTCTTGTCAAGATCCTGAATTCAGTCATCTTGTGGTCACTGCTGCCCAAGTTACCATCCACTTCTATATCCCCCACCAATTCTCTGTTTGTGAGCAGCAGATCAAGAACAGCATGGTCTTTTGGCCTCTCCAACACTTGTACCAGGAAGTTGTCTCCAGCATTCTCCAAAATCTTCTAGATTGCCTGAGCACTGCTGTATTGCCCTCCCAGCAGATGTCAGGGTGACTGAAGTCCCCCATCAGAACCAGGGCCTGTGATCGGGAAACTTTCACTAACTGTCTGAAGAAAGCCTTATCTACTTCATCCTCCTGGTTTGGTGGTCTATAGGAGACCCCCACCACAACTTCACCCTTATTGCTCTCCCCTCTAACCTTAACCCAGAGGCTTTCAACTTGCTTATCTCAAGTTTCATACTGGAGCTTTGAGCAATCATACAGCTCTTTTACATACAGTGCAAGTCCTCCTCTTCTCCCCTGCCTGTCCAGTTTGTACCCATCCATGACAGTGCTGCAGTTATGCAAGCTATCCCACCAGGTCTCTGTTACTCCAATCATGTCATAGTGCTGTGACTGTTTCAATTCTTCCTGCTTGTTTCCCAGGCTCTGTGCTTTCATGTACAGATACCTGAGATAACAAGCCAATTGCCCCACAACCTTAATATGAACAGACTTCACCTGTTGCCCCCTCATCTTTGTGCTTCCTCCAGATCCCCCACTTCCCCTCTTACCTCAGGGCTTTGGTAAACATGGTGAACCTAGTTTAAAACCCTCCTCAGTGACTGCCTTTCTTGCATGCATACCAGCCTCTGGCTTCTTTACTAGTCATTCCATCCAGGAAGAGTGCACAACAACTGCAGATGCTTCCTCAGCCTGATGAAGGGTTTTTAAACCCAAAGACTTGCTAAGAAAATACATTTCCAACTATTTAAGTTGGTCTAATAAAAGATATTAGATTCACCCAAAGAACCTTGTCTGCTTATATCCTTAGACCAACATGGCTCCAACCTACACCCCTGTAACACAAAGGGTGAAACTCATGTAACCCCTTGGACATCAATGAATTGCTCTAAGATCAGTGTGATCCATGTTTTTTGTAACTGGTGTTTGAGCCAAAGTCCCATGACCTAGTGGGTGTTTTTCCTTGAATTTTAATGAAGTGCGGATTGGGTGCTTTGGGACTAACTCTCACACGTGTATTCATATGAATGGATGTTGCCTTTTCTGAAGATTGTTTCACTTGCTCTATATTGATCAGTCTTCTGAACAACATACAGAAGAGGTTTCTGAAGCAGGTACTTAGTGTGGTCCTGCTTCTGCTTTGTCAGGGTAAAATTACTCTCATTCCTACCTGCCTTGTTTCAGCTGAAGATATGGAAGTTGGACAGGATGCATGAGAGGATCAATTTTTGGCTTAAATGTATTTAAGCATTGTATTTGCATTTGTAATTGGGATGTGACATCATATCTTTCCAATCCCAATGATAGTAGCCTGTTTTAAATCTCTCTAATATTGTCTGAATCTGGCTTTTACATTTTTTGGGGGGGGGGTTATTTTTATGCAATATAACATAAATGTAAAGTTAACACATTGCTTTTGACATCCCTGAGTTGTTTTTCTGGCTACCAACAAAGAGAGCCCCCTCCAAGGCAAATCCATCTGTGGAAACCTGCTTCTGTATTTCAAGTTGGCAACAATGCCCTTTTCAGTCATACATAACACACAGCCTGTTGCTATTTATTCCTTTGGTTACTTAGAATGCAATTTCCCTTCACCTGCGTTGAAACTGACTCTCCATGCTGCCTCCTTGCTTTTCAGGTGGTCACCATGGAAATCTGTTTTGATGGAGAAGGGGAGGACATTGTAGAAATTGTGAGAGCATCAGATTAGCCCTGCCCGGTAATGACAGTATCCCCATTGTCAGAGGAGACTTCGCAGAGCTGGTGCTGTTACTGCCAATCAAGGTGAAAGTGATTCAGTGGGGACTGGTGGGGAAAACAAGAAAAGAGACAGAACTCGTTGCAGAATACAAATAGAGCCAATGCATTTGAACAGGATTAGAGGAGGAAGAGATGGCAAAGACCTATTAAATCTCTCGTACTACCTCCTCCTAGAGCAAGAGAGAATTCCTATATAGATGAGACATCAGGAGATAATAAACACAGGTTACCCTTGATCCTAACTAAAGGGTTGCAATATGTTTTATACACACTTAGAAAGCCAGCCAGGGATGGTGTGCAAACCTAGACAAGGAACAGCATTCTTACCATTCTGCTAGACTTGCACAGTGCATCTAAGAGTGGATTAGCTCAAGCCCATAAAAGCCCAGTGTCAGACTTGGACCCTTCTGGATAAAAGAGGCTAGGTATGTTCAATTTAGAAAAGAGATACTTAAGGTAGGACATGAGAAGAGTTTACAAAATACTAAATGATGCAGAAAAAATAAATAGGGTTTTTTTATTTACTATTTCTCACAATACAAGAACTAGGAGTCATAAAATGAAACCAGTAAGTAGTAGAGATGTGAAGGCCTGGAAAAACAACAGACCAGTTCAGAAAAAAAAGCTTTTTCCTGTTTTTCCCTGAGGTCTTTTTTTTGTTTTTTCCCCTGAAAAATTGGAAAAATTGAAAATTTTTGGAAACATTAAAAAAATTCCTTATGAAATATTTTCTTTTAGAATGATGAATAAAATGTTTAAGACAAGGTGTTCATATACTGCTACCCTTTACTCTCCAAAATTTTTTCTAATAACTATATAATAGGAAAACTTTTATGTAAGACTATCTACAGCATCAGATCATTACAATTCCTGTACACTGAGGACAAGCAGTACAGTACAACTCTCAAATTCAAGAGCAAGATGCATTTCTGCTCCCAGGGGGCACTGCCATTTTCACAAGAGAAGGAAGAAAGATTCAGTGCCTTCTTTGCTTGTGGACTTCCTCTATTGTTGACTTTTGATCTAGAGGTTGCTAGATCTGCTCCTGTCCTCATAACTAGGCTCAAAGGACTGGGAGTGGACACTGGCAGCAGCATCCATTCATTCCTGTAGAGATTAGAAACAAGGAGCTTATTGCCCTTCTTGCTCAAAAGCCTCAGGAAAGGAGACAGAGCAAGTCTAAAGGTTCTGGAGTTGGAAGAAGCCTGCCTCCTCCTGGCCCTGTGACCTTGACATCCACAGAAGTACAGGAGCAGCACAAAGGAACTGAAAGAAAATATACTTCTTTATTGAAAGGTAAGAGTTTAAATTTCTCTGAATTCAGTATATTAAACTATATTTTAGCTGCATTTGTGTATTTTCATAACCTATGTAATTCATAATTGAACTCCTACAAATCTGATGTTTTGTGACAAATCACCCAACCTGAGCAGTAAAGCAAGGCCTGCAGGGCAGGACAGTTGTTTACAGTTAACTCTGAGGAGGCCTCTCCTCCATCCATTACTAAATTTGTACATGCTGTAGCTTAGTGCTTATATATGCAAGCTGGCCACTAAATTACATTTTTCTTTTTTCTCCCTCAGCAAAATGGTGTAAGCAACTTCTAGCATATGGAAACATTTCCACACTGCAAGTTATTCTGAGAAAAAAAATGTGATTTGCAAATACTGTCAAATGAAATATGCATTTCCAA